AATTTAACTAATGAATTGTTATTATGAAAAATAATAAAGCCTAAATATTAAATTAAAATAAACATGCTTTTTAAGTTTATAGGTTAGAATTTTCGTATTATGTACGAGATGATGTTATAAACTAAAAATAGAATGCAAGTAATTAGGAAGAATATTTATAAAAACTTCATTTGAGTACTTCACTTCAAGGCAGTCTATTATTATTTTAAACATGTAACAAGAGAAGTCGTTTAATTAGGTTTAAGTTTGTCAAGAAATGGTAAATTTAAATTTTCAACAAAAAGGGTTTTATATTAAAAAAACTTATTTTGTAGGCACTACTGGGAGCACAACTGGTCATCACTTTGATAATAATTAGTTTAATTCAAAAACTAGGGCACCATTTTTCATTTGGAAGATGGTTATTATGTAGTACAGGTCTTATAAGGTACCTTTATCCTACAGATGATACCCTTCGGGAATTAGCCCATATTCCCAAAGAAAAACCCGCAAAAAGAAATAAGATCTACGAAAATGGTAAACAAAAAACGTTTCATATTCCCAAAGACCTGGAATTTGAGCTTGAAACTGCCAAAATTTCTGTACTCGATGTAATTCATTTAAAGTATTACACTGAATACCAGTGGTTATTAGATTTTGCAGTTTATGCAGCAATAGTATACACTTTGACTGAGGTAGGTACTAACATGCATTAGGTATTAGGAAGTATTTTTTTATTGTTTAATAATTACAGGTGTACAAGTCATTCTATTCAATAGAGAATGAAATTAATTTGAGCATAATATGGTGTACACTTATAGTTGGTTATGCTTTGTATCCTTTTGATTTAGGTTTTTATTGAATGAACTGAGTTTATATGGTATATTTTTCTTAATATTATGAATAGGAAAATATTATTGTCTCTCACAATACAGTATTTCCGAAGTGATGAGTCAATTGGAGAAAGATCTGCTTGTATTGTTATGGGATTCATTTATCTCTTAATTGCCATGATCTTTTTGATTATAAATGAAAATGTTCTTGAGCTTGGACTGGAGAAAGCATACTCTAGTTTTAATAGGACTGCTTCAACATTTATTAACACACAAAACATAAAATCAACGTGAGAAAATGCACTTTATTTACTTGATATTAGATTTTGCTGATTCTTCTCATTATTAATTTAAGTGTTATTGTTTCTTGCTGTTTAATTTTGCAGAGGCCCAGCTTCAAAAATAGTACTGAAATTTTTCATTTCGGTATGGTGTGCCATTTTGGGCACTATTTTTACGTTTCCTGGATTGAGAACAGGTAGAATGCACTGTGACTTATTAAAGTAAGTTTCATGAATATAAATATTTATTATATTAAGATTAGTTACATATTTTATATAATAAGTTAATCCTAAGCTGGTAATTCTCCTGTTACTA